AACATATTCATTAAGGTGTTAGTAATCATAGCAGTCACAGTAAATGTAAGTTAGTTCTCAGGTTATATGTTGAATTTTCTAGTGTTCATTATATTTTTAAGATAGAATAAAATTTAAAAAGACAGTTCTTGGCAAGTGATTTTAGTGTGTCATGATTCAAGGGTTATGATTAAGCCGATTCTGTGCACCTAATTTCTAATAAAAATTATAAAAGTTTTCAAATCATCTCGGATGTTTTATTTTTTGAGTTATTTTGTTATATTTTAATTTTTTACTATAGTTGATATACAATGTTATATTAGTTTTGGGTGTACAACATAGTGATTTGACCATTCTGTATATTATCCAGTGCTCATCATGGTATGTGTAATTACCATCTGTCACAATACAAAGTTATTACACTGTTAGTAAGTATATTCCTATGCTGTACTTTTCATCCTCATGATTCATTTATATTGTAACTAGAAGTTTGTACATCTTAGTCCCCTTCACCTGTTTGGCCCATCTGCCCACTCCTTCCCCTCTGGAAGTTGGAAGTTTTAAATTATTGTTTTTCTCATTAAAAAATTATATTTTGTATTTTAACATATTTCCCACCTAGTAATTTTATATTGTATATCCTAAGGTCAGTATCTGAAGAGTTTTGTTTTCTGGATCTGTTGTTTGTTTTCAATGTAATTTTTAAAAATGTTTTGTTTCTGAGAGAGAGAAAGAGAGAGAGTGCAAGCAGGGAAGGGTCAGAGAGAGAGGGAGACACAGAATCTGAAACAGGCTCCAGGCTCTGAGCTAGCTGTCAGCACAGGGGGCTCAAACCCATGAACCATGAGATCATGACCTGAGCTGAAGTTGGATGCTTAACCAACTAAGCCACCCAGGCACCACTGTTTTTACAGTGCAATTTGTTATTCATGTGTCTTGTAACTAAAAAGGAAAAGATAGATAAGTTGGACCACATTAAAAACAAGAACTTTAATTCATCAAAAAGCCATTAGAAATTAAAAGTAAAGATTTAGAGAGAAAGAAAATTTTTGCACCCATATACCTGATCAAAGACATATCTAGAGTAAAAAAAAAAAAAAAGCACCTACAGATCAGTAAGAAGATGACAGACCATTAGATAATTGGGCAAAGAACTTGAATAAGTACTTCACAAAAGAGGGTTTCCAAATGGTGAATAAGCCTATAATAAAGTGTTCAACCTCATTACTGTGCCAGGAAATTAAAATTTAAATTGAATAATTAAGTATTGGTACACAGCTGACACAATGGCTAAAATAAAAAAGACTGACAATCCCAAATATTTGTGAACATGTGGAATTCATATATGCTGCTGCTGGGAGTGTAAATTGATATAACTAACCTCTTTGGGAAACAGTTTGGCAATATCTACTGAAGATACACACATGTATACACAATGACCCAGCACTTCCACTCCCAATGACATGCAAGCATATGTTCACTAAAAAGCATGTACAGAGAATCTTCATAGTAGCATTGTCCAGTAATAATTCCAAGTATCCATCAACACTAGATTGGAGGGACAAATTGTGATACAGTCGTACAATAAAGCAATGAAAGTGAGGTACTGTGACACCACAGCAACATATATACATCTCAAGAAATAATGTTGAAAGGTAAGAAGCCAGACACAAGAGTACATGCTATATACTCCATTTATAGAAATTTTAAAAATGGACAAAACTGATCTATGGTGTTAGAAGTCAGAATACTGATTACCTTTGAGATGGGGGTCCTGACTGGGAGAAAGAACAAAGGAGTGGGCTTTTGAAATACTGGGAATGTTCTATTTCCTCAATTTGGTTACTTGGGTGTGTTTATATTTTAAATGTTTACTGAGTAATTCATTTCTTGCTTATATACTTTACTGTGTGTATTTGTGCTTCAGTAAGAAGCTTACTTGAAAAAACAACCTATACATTCTTGAAAACAGTAGGATATTAACATATTTAATGTTTGTTTTCAATTTTTTTAATGGTTCAAATTGGCCTTTGTGGGATATTTTAGATACAACAGCTATTGTTTACTAGAAAGTATACTAAATATTTTGCATTCATTAAATCTTCACAATAATCCTATAAATTAGAAATTAGGTCCATTTTATATATGAAGAATTAAACTCAGAGAAACTAAGTTTTTTGGCCAAGGTCATACAACTCATAGTATATGCTATCGTTCCCTGATAATATTTAAAGCCACAGGTTTTTAGAACAGAAGCAGTTTTTAAATTGGAGTCTTGGGCCTGGAGACACAGATCAGTCATTTAACCTAGTGTCTTCACTTACTAGCTATAATATAAATTACACTTGACAAGCAGAGCAGTGCTGGACTGTGTGTGTGTGTGTGTGTGTGTGTGTGTGTGTGTGTGTGTTTAATTTCCTGAGCTTTGAGCTCCTGTGGACAGAAGGAAAAGTCATAAAAAAAAATATATTGTTAGTACTACATATTTTATCTGAACATGTTCGCCTCAACTGCTATACAAATAAAATCCCTGGAAAGTTAATATTAATCTCTCTGTATCTGTTGTTGACTAAAGAATTCCATCCAGTCCGTGGGCTTCTGAAGTGGTGATAAATACTTGCTCCCGTTTGTCTTTTGATGCCTTATATAAGGAGGCAAACTGCAGAACACTCCAAAGGGATTCTCTTTCCATTATGAAACATATTGTCTGACATTAGATTAAATAGCTTGAAAATACTATAGCCATCGATGCACTGTTGTTGTTACAGTATCTTAGAATCAATGAAAGAAATTAATAAACAGAAAACATAGTCTTAAGAGAGATCTTCTCCTGGTTTTCTAGTTAAGAAAAAAGAAATTAGCACTCTCAACAGGGGGCAAAGCAGAAGATTGTGTGGGATTCTTTTGAAAAGAAGAACTTCACTTCCAATGTTAATTTAATTTGCATGCACTTCTAGGGAAGTCATTTATCACCTTTCTGTGCATATACCTTGGATAATATTTATGCTTCTAGATAAGCTTTTAGTAAAATATACTACCATTTCTGAAATACCAATTCAGAATTGGTTAATAAAGGAAACAATGAAAGGAAAGTTTCGATAATTTAGTATAATCCCTTCGCATATTATTTTAGGGACTGTTTCATCACGTTATGATCAAAGACTCAGAACAAGGAGCTCTGGTTGTTTTTATCCTCTTCTAGTGCTGTGTATGCTGCCCTGAGCTTCTCTTTGATTCACAAAAGGCCAGCTGTCCTCAGTATGTTGATTCCACTTTCAGTAGTTATGAATTTGGGGAGCTCAGATAATTTAAAAAGGAAACTAAAGCTGGTTTGCCTTGCAGCATCTAAGCAATATTACTGATATCAGTCTGAACGAAAGTGTAAGTATTCTTCCCCTATTCCTGAATGTGCGTGCTGGGCAAATAGTCATAGCAGAAAATAAAAACCAGTTCGCCATTTTACCTTTGACTGTTTCATCCCTACCTGGGATTTGCTGTTGGGATTCCCTTTCTTATTATCTTCAGGCCTGTGTGAGCTCTGGTTCCTGGTTGCTTTCTGCTTAAAGGACATAGCTTCCAGTCGTTACTAGGTGTCTATCTTAGTGTTTTGGTGTTCTCACTTGTGTAAATTGAGCCCTCTTTCTTTGCTATGATATCCTGAGTAATAGATCAGACTGTCAAAATGAACTTGTAGTTTATAGGAAAGAGGTAAAGGCCAAATATTTGAAGACCAGAGGGATTTTAACCACTAAAATCCGTAGTTAAACATTTAGTGAAGTGTTCTGCTCACGTAATTTGTGTTGAATCATATGTTCATTTCTTTTACTCAAATGACAAGAATTTGAGGGGCGCCTGGTTGGCTCAGTCGGTTGAGTGTCTGACTTCAACTCAGGTCATGATCTCGTATTTTTGGGTTTGGGCCCTGCATGTGGCTCCGTGCTGACAGCTCAGAGCCTGGAGCCTTCAGATTCTGTGTGTGTGTGTATGTCTTCACCTCTCCTGCTCATGCTCTGTCTCTCTCTGTCACACACAAAAATAAACATTAAAAAATTATAAAAAAAGAAAAAAGAGGGACTCAGACTGCCTTGGCTCAAGTCCCCATGCCTCTACTCACTAGCAGCGAGATTTCGGAAAAGTTGCTTAACACCTCTTGAATCCTCAGTGTTATTGTCTATAAATTAAGAATAACATCTGATTTTTAGGGGTGATGTAAAGATGAGAAGCAATCCTACAATATTTATGTTATTATGTGATTATATATAAAGTTACATAATATGAAGTTATGTATATTTACATGTAAAATCATATATAATTATACATTTATAACTACATCTAATAATTGGTATATAAATAAATAAGCATTGTATAGGTTTTATTATATTGCATTTACTATATTATATATTTATCCTTATATATATTTATGTTATATATTATATATTTATATATTATATATTTTATATATAATTATAAAATTATATATTATAAATTTATAATCCAAATTTTTATATGAGTAGGTATAACTGTAGTAATTATATTCATTATACTTATAGTGCCTGGCACGTTTTAAATACCCAATAAATATTAAACTTTTTAAAGTTTGACACTCTTTTAGGTCTTTTTAGCACCTCCTTCCCCCTCTTCATCTGGGAGAGCATAAGATTTGGGCACAGAATTTGGACATAGCCTATCAGAATGTCCCAAACTACAGATCTAGGTCATTATAAATAGTTTAAGTTGAGCAAGTGACTTGACTGGGTCAGTTACTTTAAATCTTTTCAATCTTCCTTAGCCAAGATAGTTGCTTAATACAACAACTATAGTTGTTTATGTTTAAATAAAAATATAAATAGTAGTGAATAAATAGTAAATAATAAGGAACTAATTTATCACATTTTATGAGTTAAAGGGGTAAGAATGAGAAAATGAGTTGAGTATTAAGTAAACATCAGTAAACTTTAGTTTTAATGGAACTAATGAGTATATGAGCCTATATATTTCCTTTTGTTTTATTTTTTAAGTTGGTTTGAGTAAAGTTCCATCACTCACGATAAGAAGACTCCTGACCAGTCTAAAGAAGTAATAGAAGTAGTCCATGTGCAGAGATGCTGTTCATCGGGCTTTAGGAGCAGTCCCCAGGACAGCTTAACCGTAAGTGCTGTGCAAATCAAATTGTGGCCAGATTTGGATCTTTAATAAAACTATAACATGCTGGTCAGTTTGGGCAAGCCAGATTTTCTTTGAGGTTTTAAGAATTTTCACAGATAGATTTGGCAATTTATTTCAAATGCCTGGATGCTGGGATAATCAATATTAGAAGTTAGAGTCCTCAGCTTCTTCATTTTACTTAAAAACAAAAACCAGCTTCTTCCCGACTACTTGCTGCATAAGTTCTCAGGCCAAATGTCCTTTTTCATAGATCATAGAATTAATCGTTTTAGTTAGAATCCCTGATATTCCTGACAATAGCTTATACAATTCTGCCTCCCAATTAACTAGAATGTATTGTTTGACAGTTACTTACTTTTAAATTTCACTCATTTATTTTGCATGACCCATCTGAAGATTTAAATGAAAATATAAATACACACAAATTTGAATTTAAAAAAAATTCATAGTAAAATAGTTTGGAATGATGAACTGATTGATGTATATGAAGAATTTTAAGCCTGAATTTTCCTTATGTTTGCTTTCATCCAATGGTGATCATTTTTACCCAAACAATTTTCAATACTTGATTGTGAAAACAATCTGATGTTCCAATGATAATGAGATTGTCAGTGACATTTACTTGTGTCTTTATCTTTTATCTAGTTGTCTGTCACAATCATTTCATTAGTCATTCCAATATCTGGTCCATTCATATTTTATCTCCAGGACAGAAAATTGCCTGTATTAGAAAACACTGTAAGTAACTGTGGGCTCTGGGCTCTCTGCTGCCATTTGAGTAAATAATACTTTTTAAATAAAAAGATTGTGGAATTTAAAGGTCACATCATAAAGACTCACTTTAGTCTTTAATATGACCAGCCATCAGAGCTGGAGTTAGCAGTGAGATTTGGATAAGAAAGATTCACAATTCTGATTTTCATCTGTGCACCTTGGCAACACTGCCTGAGGACAGTGTGAACAAAATTCCAAGACCAAATAGCCAATAGCATAATATACTTTCCGCATGCTGAGAAGTAGAGAGTGAAGAAAATTAAAGCTTCAGTGGTCTCCTATAAGGATTTCATAAATGATTTTCCAGTAAAAAAAATTAGTTTGAAAATAGCTCTTGTAACATTTTTTATGCTTGTACCAGACTTAGGACTCTAACAAAAATCCAGTATTATGAAGGTATTGACACACAATGTATTTAAATACAAATGACTGTAATTTTAATTGTAACTGCTATTTATTGAATACTTACTATTTGCCACCAACTGGGCTTAGTGCTCTATAGATATTAGTTCATTTAATTCCCACGACAGCTCCAGTGTGGAGGTCCATTTTATAGATAAGAAACTGAGGCATTCGGAGATTGTGGAGCCAGGCCTCCAGCACGATTTTGTTGGCTTCAGAACCTAGCTTTTCTTGACAATGCTGTTCCATGGAAATATTAAGTTTATTTGCTTATCTACTCTCCAGATACTCATATATTTATCATTTCCCACAGCTAGACACACTTTATTAAAATTGTTTGGTTCACACATATTTATATATTTTTTAAACTTGTTACTTTAACATAATTACAGCACATTAGGGTTCTCTAGAGAGACCCAGGAGGAAGATATAGATAGATAGATATAGGTATATCATAATGGAGGCTAAGATATCCCATGAACTGCTGGCTGCAAGCTAGAAACCCAGGAAAGCCAGGGTTATAATTCATGAACTGGATAAGCAGTGGTGGAAGTCCTGATCCAAGGGAAGGAGGGTACTGATGTTCCAGTTCAAGCAGTCAGACAGAGAGAGTGGATTCCCCTTTTTGCTGCTTTTCTGTTCTTATTGCGTCCCTCCATGCATTGGAGGATGTCCACTCACATCACATAAGGAGGACAGTTAACTGAACCCACTACTTCAAATGCTTATCTCATCAAGAAACACCCTTAGAGACACTCCCAGCAATAATGTTGAATCTGAGCACCCCGTGTCCCAGTCCAGGTGACACATAAATTTAATGATTATGTACAGATACACAGAAAGTTGCCACAAATGCACACAAAGCTCATAGGGAGATACCAGGAGCTCTTCACTCAGCCTCCACCAATGGTCACATCCTGCATAGCTATAGTACACTGTCAAAAGCAGGAAGGTGACATTGGCACCTTCCACGTAGTTTATTCTAATTTCATCAGTTTTACAGACACTCTTTGCTCACCATGGTTTATTATAGGCTTGTGATCCCTTCTATCACATGGAATGTCTTAATTTTATTTGGTCAAATATTTCAGTCTTTTTTTTTCCCCAATTGCTCTGACTTTCATGATTTGCTTATTACAAATACTTTCCCCATCACCAAACTATGAAAATATCTTTTATTAAATATATTTTCTTTTGACACTTCATTTCTTTTAGAATTTACTTTTATGTGTCGTGTAAACAGAATCTAATTCCCTCCCCCCACCCAAATGAACAGCCACTTGTGATAACACCACTTATTGAATAGCCACTCCTTTCCTATTGGTTAGAATGCCACTTTTACCATATGGATTTGTATGTTTTTGTACTCTCCGTTGTGTTCTATTCTTCTTTTACTTTACCAATACTGTATAATTTAGATGTAGTTTTTAAAAAAATGTTTATTTATTTATTTTGAGAGAAAGAGAGAATATGAGTAAGGGAGAGAGAGGGCAGAGAGAAAGAGAATCCTAAGCAGGATCTGCGCCATTAGCTCAGACCCTGGATCATGATCTGAGCTGAAACCAAGAGTTAGATGCTCAACTGACTTAGCCACCCAGGAGCCCCTAGATATAATTTTCAAAAGCGTATAAATATTGTACTTTTTAGCAAGGAAATAAAACTGATGTAAGGCTATGGAGAATGAATGACTTTTCCTTTCTCTGAGGCCATCATGGTCCTGTGCAGAGCCCCAACTCAAATGCTTCTGGAAGCCAGGAAGGTAGCATAGATGTATAAGGAGGTCAGCACTAAGTCAGTAAAGATTGGTCTATACCATAAACATATGATTATGTATCTCTCTTAAAAGCATCCCATTTCAACTTTTTAATACAATTTTTTGTCCAAACACTTCTGTGGCATTTAAATGTCTACTTCTAGTCTAGTGGAAATAATTTGATATTAGAATTAAAAACTTCTCCAAGCTTCCCATTTCTTAACTAGGAGACTTTAAGCAAATTACTTAGCTTCTCAGAAGCTCAATCTCCTTATTCGGAAAAGGAAATAATACTTATGCGTATGGTTGGACTAATTATTACATGAAGTAATATACATCAAAACACTATGAATAGTGCCTTGTACGTGTTCTTTGCTACATAGATGTTGGTGGAATTTAAGCAGTAACTTATTTAGAGAAAGAAACATATCTTTTGATCTAGAGAAAGTCCCCTTTTAACCCATTAAATCCAGGTAGCTAGGAAATTTGCAAATAAAGATTTATGAGCTTTCATGTATAGTGCTGTTTTGGGTACTATCTGGGGAATACAAATAATGATCACATACAGTCCTTACTTTTGATATGTTTGTAGCCTGGTGAAGACACAGACATTGTAGAGTTTAGAATATATTTTTTTTATTCCTTTCTTCCTGTCCAGCACCTTTACTCTCTATTTCAGAATTTGACCATCTTACTCTCAGTTTCTGTACTGGATTTTCTCCAGGGGTAGGCATCTATATCATAGGACTGGCCTTTTGGAGATGACCACTTCCCAACGACCATGATTGCTTCAAGTCTGGGCAAGGGACCCACGTCAGCTCAATAACTGAAACTCTTGAGACTTTCGCTTGAGCTGTTGGGAAAGAAACTCTTTCTACAAATTGTTATCCTAGGAAAATTTGCGTCTGAAGCTTTCCATGGGCTATCATAAGCCAAAACCAAACCTCACCAAATAAGCCAAAACAACAACAGTAGCAACAGAAACATGCCCAATAAGGAAGTCAGCATAGAATTTTGCTGAGTTGAGAGACAGCAGAAGGAGGGACCAAGGCTGATGCCATTGTTAGGGCACCTGAACTCTGTTCTGTATGTTCATCCCTTGAACTTCCTAGTTACCTTTTTGGTTTGAAAACAGTGTGAGATGTCTTTCTGTTATTTTCAACTAACAGTTCTAAGCAATGTAGAACTATAATACACATATAAAAAACATGCATGGAAGCTTACAAAGCAACATAAATAATCAGTCCTTGAGAAATCTGAAGGTCCATTTCTCTTCCTAGGCATAACTATTCCATGTGTGGTTCATACAAGCTGGGGAGCAGTTTTGAGAGTAGATGATAGGTATTAGTACAATTAAAAAATACCCTTTAAATGTACCCCAGTGTTCATAGCAGCACTCTCAACAATAGCCAAAACATGGAAAGAACCTAAGTGTCCATCAACTGATGAATGGATCAAGAAGATGTGGTATATTTATACAGTGGAATACTACATGGCAATGAGAAAGAATGAAATCTGGCCATGTGTAGCAACATGGATGGACCTTGAGGGTGTTATGCTGAGTGAAATAAGTCAGGCAGAGGAGGATAAAATACAATTTTGGATTGAATGTGTAAACTACCATCAGAGGAGAGAGGAAGGATAAGCCAAGAACATGTTGAAGGTTTATTCCCTTTAAGAAAAGGCTGCTTTGACAGGGAAATCAAAAGATGACTTCCCAGACCACAGCAAGACTGAGGAAACCTATCCAGGTCACAAAACATTGGAGTGAACTTTTAGAGCAGATTGTTCAATAAAATAGGTGGTTATGGGGCACCTGAGTGGCTCAGTTGCTTAAGCACCCCACTCTTGGTTTCAGCTCAGATCATGATCTCATGGTTTCGTAGGTTCAGGCTCCACACTGGGCTCTGTGCCGACAGTGCGGAGCCTGCTTGGGATTCTCTGTCTCCTTTCTCTCTTTCTCTGCCCCTCCCCCACTCACACGGCTTCTATCTTTCTCAAAATAAATAAATTAAAAAATTCTTTAAAAAAAGAAAAGAAAATACGTGGTTAT